GAGCCGGGGGAGCCCCGAAATGGTGGCCAGTCCCTTCAGGGAGCCGAAAGACAGAGAAATGAGGCCAGGGGAACTCCAAAATGGCATCGGGGCCCCCAGATTGAGGGCCGGTCACCTCGGGAACCAACAGCGGGGACAGGGAGTCAGGGGAGCCCCAAAATGGGTCGGGGACCCCAAAATGGTGGCCGGTCACTTCAGGGAGCCAGCACGGGGGGAGACGAGGCCACGGATGCCCCAAAATGGTGTCAAGGCCCCCAAAACGGCCGCCGGAGGCGTCCTGACAGGGCTGTGGTGGTGAAGAGCCACCTGGGGAGCCCCAAAACGGTGGCATGGACCCCAAAATGGGGGCTGGTCCCTTCGGGTAGGTGACAGCGGGGACAAGGAGGCAGGGGAGCCCCAAAATGGTGTTGGGGACCCCAAAATGGGACCGGTCAGCTCAGGAAGACAGCAGTGAGGACAAGGAGATGGAGGAAACCCAAAACGGGGGCAGGGATCCCAAAATGGGAGCCGGTCACCTCAAGAAGCGGACGGGGGAAGATGGGGCTGTCGGAGCCCCAAAATGGTGTTGGGGACCCCAAATTGGTGGCCGGTCACCTCAGGGAGCTGGCAGTGGGGGAGATGGGGCTGTTGGAGCCCCAAAATGGGTTGCAGGACCCCCAAAATGGGGGCTGGTCACCTCAGGGAGGCGACGGTCAGAGAGATGCAGCTGGGGGAGACCTGAAATGGCACCCAGCACCCCAAAACAGTGGCTGGTCACCTCAGGAATGTGACAGTGGGGACAAGGAGGCAGGGGACCCCAAAATGGGGGACAGTCACCTCAAGAAGCGGACGGGGGAGACAGGGCCATTGGAGACCCAAAATGGTGTTGGGGACCCCAATTTGGCAGTCGGTCACCTCAGGGAGACAAAAGCAGGGACAAGGAGGCAGGGGAGCCCCAAAATGGCATCAGGGACCCCAAAATGGTGTCTGGTCACCCCAGGGAGGCAACAGAGAGATGAGGCCAAGGGAGCCCCAAAATGGCAATGGGGCCCCAAAATGGTCACAGGGGACACCCTGGGAGGGCAGCGGTGGGGAACGTGACACCAGCGGAGTCCCCAAATGGGGGCAGGAGCCCCAAAATGAAAGTGGCCCCCCAAAATGTTTGTTGGTCCCCTCAGGAAGCCAAGAGCCGGGATGATTTGGGGGCCAGGGGAGCCCCGAAATGGGATCCGGTCACTTCAGGGAACCGACAACGAGTAAAAGGAGGTCGGGGAAGCCCCGAAACGGCAGCGGCTCCCCCA